CTGTAATATTTAAAGACTGTGAATTGGCTCAGTCTTTAAATAATACAATATACAGTATAATACAGTTATAATACAGAGTCAATAAAGTCTTTAAATGTTACAGCATCAAATGTTATAAAATGATTACTATACTGGCCCACTAATGGCTAAGTGGATAAAATCAACACTGGTAATTGGTTAGTTTGCTAACAGTAAAGTTTTCAAATTTGTAACACCTAAATAGGGGCCAATTTCCCATAGAAAGGACTTTCTATAGAAAATTGGCATCCTCCCTGGCAATTGCCCATGTGCTGCATTGCATAAACAAATAAATGAAACTGTAACTACACTATATATGATTCACTGTAATACAAGGGCAGGCTGAAAAGTAATGTACACATGCTTGTAGAGCACAAACGAAATGATTTTCAGAAGCATGCCAGGTGGCATATGGAAGTAACATTCCCCCTCTATGTGCATGTGCAGTTTGAGGTTGTTATGTTCATTCAGTATATTTTGAGAAGCGGAAATATGGAGACATGTTCTGGTGCTATGTCAACGCAAGTTAAATAGCGTGCTGTTATCGAATTTTTAACTGCTGAAAAAATTACGTTTAAAGGCTGTTTATGGTGACGATGCTGTTGATAGCTCTATTGTAAATTGGATAATAAAATTTTGTGGTTGCGAGCCTGGAAAAGCCATAATTAATGATGAAACACCCAGCGGAAGTTAGATCACTGCCACAGACAATTACCATTGCACCTTGTTGCAATGTTTAATTCTTCTCAGTACATACAGACTCTAAAACACCTCTGACGTTGAGTTTGACATGTTAAAGGCAGCCTGGCACCAATAATCTTGCAACATGACAATGCTCGTCCACACATCTTGCATGCAACTGGAGAGGCTCTGCGAAACCTGAAGTTTGAACCAATTCTACACCCTCCTTATTCCCCCGATCTTGCGCCTTGTGATTTTTATTTGTTTCTTCTACTTAAGAGAGACCTCAAGGGTAATCATTTCACCTCAGACGATGAGGTGAAGACAACTGTCAAGTCCTGGATTCGAGAAAAGTCAGAAGAATTTTTCAGTGACGGAATGAAAAAACTTGTTACACATTGGGAGAAATGTGTTAGTCATCATTAAGGCTATGTTGAAAAATAAATATATGATTTTGAAGCTCAAGAATTGTTCTTTAATGTACTTTTTGCCCGATTTTTGCTATTTTTTTTTGTTCATGTTCTACAAGCATGTGTGCATTACTTTTCAGCCTACCCTCGTAATAACTGACTCCAATTAATATTATATTTATGAAAAACTCAACAATGATAAGTATGCCTGTTGTTTTCATTAACCCTTTCAGGTCCAAATTAAGTATTGCACTGAAACATTTATTTAATGTAAATATTTATAAGTAACATGCTTTCAAACAAAAACAAATTTTTAAGAAAATATAATTTACATAAATAGTAATTAAATGGGATTTTCTGGTTCCATCAAGCTTCTTTGCCATATTGATTAAATATAGTGAAACTCAATAAAAAAAAAAAATTATTGCAGCACAGTGTTGCATTGCATATACTACATTTTCTATGTGGGGGTGATTCAGTTTTTTTAATTGAATACCATTAACAATATTAGAGAGGTTGCAGCCGACGTTTTCATCGCAAAAACATGTACGTCGGACGTTCAGCACCGCCTTCCTGTAAACCTAGAAGTTTGACAGTGGCATTTGGAACGTCAGTAGAATCATGCTCGATGTACAAAACGCCATTGTCAAACTTCTAGGCTTACAGGAAGGTGGCGCTGAACGTCCGATGTACACATTTTCACGATGGAAACGTCAGCCACAACCTCTCTGTTGTCATAAATTTTAAAATTTTGCCAATGCACTTCTAAATTGTCATTTGTCACTGTTGATTTTTTTCTTTTCAATGGTGTGTATATTTTTTCTTCTGTTTTTCTTTAAATTAGTCTTTTCTAGAGTACTTAGTTTTTGAGTTGCATCTCTTGAACTGGGGGAAACCATTTTCTTTCTTTTACTCTCTCAACATATGTAATTTACAATAATTATTTCATACTTGACAAGAACAGTTGATACTATCATTTTGAATAAAACCCTTTTTACAGATTTGTGTATAAAAATTTGTCAGCAACATCCTAATGGGACTGTTAAATCCAAAAATAAACATTGGCATTTTCAGTAAATAAATCAGTTGAAAGAATATTTAATATTCTAAAAGTTTACTTATATCAGAAAAATACAAAATAAAAATAAAAATATAAATGTGATTCCACTTTTAAGAAAAATATGACAAGAAATTAAATGTAAAATAAATATTCTTGGTTGCAAAGGAAGCAATTAATAACCGCTCCGATTAATATACTTCTTTTCATACTTATAAATTAAAAATAGNCAAAAGCTGATATGTATAACAACTTCAGCCAGATTTCTTAAAAATAATTTGTGAGATAATTTACAAATATTGGATAATAGAACAGAAATTAAAAAAAAAATAATGTGTTATGTTATAAAAAATATATAGAAAAACTATTTTAAAATTATAATATTTAATAGATATTATTTATAGAAATTTTCTTTTTAACTGTTAACAAGTTAAACAAAATTTTGAAGCTTTTATTCAAGATAGTTAACATTTTACTTCATGTATTTATATCATTATTCAGAGAGAGATTGTGAATTAAACAGGAATCTTTGAATGAATTTTTATGGTGGTTCTAAAATTTAAATAAATTCAGAAAATATTACATTCAGATGCTTAACATGTCAAAAAATTTTATTAATTTCTACAATACAATATATGCATTTCCTCCTTTTTTTAATTTATAATTTTTTTTCCTGCTTACAAGTCAAATATTGCCTTTAATTTGATATGTTTTTTTATTTTAAATATTTTTGTATCCAAGTGATCAAAATTTGATATAGATATTTCAGTTTCAAATACTAAAAACTGATGAAGTCAATTTTATAAATATATTTATAATAAACTCATATTTGGAATTCTTACATTCGGACTATGAACTCTAAAATTTTGCAAAATTAAATTTTATGAAAGTTGGTCTACATTATATTTCACAAACAATAAACATGTGTTACAAACATGTTTAAAACACATGTACATCATACCACCTACTGAACATCATAAATTTTTTTTGTAATAATGTTGTAAGTTAGATCAATATTTATAATTTCTGTTGCTTAAAAAACGTATATCTCAAGTACGTTAGATTTATTAAATATTATGGATGATTTTTTATATCAATTTTTTTTTAAGATTTGTAAACAGTTGTTTGTCATAAAGTCACGATTAACAGGTGACCGTTCTGAAGGAAAACAGCATAAATGTTTTAATGTTTTTCGTTAATAAATTTAAGAATTAAGGTAGACTAATTTGTGTCAGAGATTTGACAGAATTTTAATTTTTTGCTATTTTTAATTACGATTTTATCAAAATAGCGAGAGAAATGAACGGTAAGAGTTCAATGTTATATATTTATTTTGGTCAATTATTATGGATTTTTCTGGCAAAAAGAATCTAGTTGCGTTTCCGGGAAATTTACTGTGATTTCCAACGACAGAAATGTAGAGTTTGCGTGACGCAAATCAAGGAAACTTTTATTTATTTTTTTTAACATTTACTGTCAATCTACCGTCTCATTTAAACGGTTGAAGGTAATTCGTGTTATCTGTTGTCTATGGCCTGATATGACTTATGACGAATTTCTAAAACATGTAACACCGAAGTAATAATAATAATAATCTAGACGTTACCGAAAATAATTAAAGCGTATGTTCAACTGAGATCTCTCTAAATCTAGTATTTAATTTAGTTCGATGACATTTTACGAGCGTGGTGTGCTTTGTTACTCTCTCTAGACGGTCACATGCTAGTGATTACAAAACAATTCGACTCGTCATCGATTTGAAACTTGAAAAATGAAGGAAAATAAAAAAATTATCTTCAAATTATCGATAAATATTCTATCTATAAGTAAAATTTGTTTTGACTTGATAATCCCTATCGCTGGACTCTCCTACATTTTTACTGTAGATTTCTTTACGTACATTAATTGTACTGTACATACAGTACGGTACAATTTTTCTAGTTTGAATTTTATGACAAAACGCGTGAAAAAATTATTATTTTTTTAATTACCGGTGTTTAAATATCTAGTTATTTTGCGTTTAAATTTACGATGATCGGTTAAAATATTACTCAGATTTTTCTTAAAGATTTACAGGATTCATCTGTTCATTTATATGATTTTTTTCCTTAAATGTCGCATTTCATTATACTACCGTTAATACTTAAATACGTCTATTATTTTCCTTATATAAAATAGGAAAAATGGAGGAAGTTTGCATTCAAAATTATGGTTGAAAATATAATTTAATAAAATTGTCTAGACTTTAAAATATTTCCTTTTCGTCATTACGTAGTTATTATACGAAGCTTCTAAGAGTGGGCCAAGGTTGTCTGTCTTGGAACTTGTTCGTTACTTCAAGTTCAAAAAATAGTTGTTTTTTTGATAAAATTTGGAAGGTCAGTTTATAATTAACGCTTAACAATTCGACATATTTTAACACGATCGTGGCTAGCTATTGATGTTTACTGAATTTTAAAAATATTCAATGCATTTTTCGAAGTTTTATAAAATAAATAAAAAAAGGTCTCTAAAATGTTAAGATTGACAGTATCGTTTGTATATCCTGCTCATGCAGCATCCTTTCCGGAGAAGGGGGGTAATCATCATTTTGACCTACTTATTGTCACGTGTTTGACCAGTTGTGCTCTCCATCATGTGATCAACCTTGGGATTAACTTTATGATACAGTTCGACGCATCGTCCTCAACCTACGTAATTTACTCACTTAAAAAATGTTTTTAGTGCTTTCAAAATAAAAATATAGAAATAAATAAATAAATAAAACATAAAATAAATAAATAAAAACTATATAAATTCGTGAATATAATAATATAATTTTTTTTTGTTTTTAGAATTCTATTCGACATAATTTGTCGCTGAATAAATGTTTCCGTAAAGTTCCTCGTCCCAAAGATGATCCAGGAAAGGTGAGATTTTCAACAAAATATTGTCGATTTTCTTCCTGTTTTATTTGACGACGACACGAACGAATATTCCATTAAAAAAATTACAAAAAAAATACATATAGTTTTTTTTTCAGATCGATTCTTCTAAATCAAATTTGTAGCCAGTAAAAATAAAACATGTATATATAACGTTACAGTTATTTTTATAATTTAGTTATGTTGAACTCATAAATTTAATTTAAATTTGAAACGAATTAAATTTTGTATGTATATATTTTTTAATTAACATCTGGTCAGAATTTCTTTAATTATAAACGAAAGTTTAAGTAGTTAAATTGTTTGAGATGATAAATTGGTGTTAACGATTTTATAATTTTTTCAAATTATAAATATATTTTTTAGTACTTTTAACATTGAACTTAGAACTTTAAATTTGTAGTTGCCAGTGGCTGCTGCTGTTGCTGCTGCTTTCATACTGATAGATTATTTTTTTGTTATTGTTGTTTTACATGATGGGTTATTGAATTGTAAAGAATTAGAGAGAGGCATTGCATTAAAATATCACAAAATATGTTAATTAGGATCGTAAACGAAATATGAAAAGTATCTGCCCTAATTCACATACTATTAATGAATAACTAAAATTTATTACAAAATAGCAGTCATAATTTCAGTTTGAAAAGGTTGAAGAGATGATTTAAGAAATTTATCCACAAACTTTACACCCTTCTGAACATTTTCATGTTATAAAAATATAATTTAACCAAATATAGTGCAACATTCAAACTTTTACTATTATTTAACTATTATAATGGTTTTATTATATATATAAATTAAATTGAGTTTAAAAAATTGTTTTTTCTCTTGAATACACTTAATGCAAAAACTTTTGGATAGATTCTATATAACAGTTAAGCTTTAATAAAATGTTTTTTCCTTCTTATTTTTTTTACCTGTTTATTGTAAGAAAAGCAGAAAAATACTTTCATAATTCCAAAATTTTCCAAAGTTTTAGTTTTTAAATAAATTCTGTTTACGTACAAAAGTCACTTCTATTTATTTACAGGTATATTTATGATTTAATTAAATTGAATACCTTATAGATTAATAAAACTCTAATTTCATGTGGTTAACCTGCAGGTTAACCACATGAAATTAGAAAAACCACATGTATTTTAAAAGACAATTTGAAAACAGATACAGATCATATGATAAAGCAGTTCTACACTAATTTTAAATTACAATTATTAACTCATCAAGCAATTTTTCTTCTGTCTAAAATTATTAAGAGCATTTTTATAAAATGTGGAAAATTTATCGTGTACTGCAGACATTTTTCTGCCATTGTGATTTCTCTCAAAACTACCAAATATACATATATAAAAGTATATTCCACCTTTAGTTTTTTCCTATTTATTTTCTTATTCTTATTCTCCCATTTAATTCATGCTTTGATTGATATTACACTTGCCGTATTTTCGTCGAATGACCGGCATGCCGCATAAAATCGGGGGAGACTAACATGTTGGAAACCTCGGGTTACCGGCATGTCTTTTAAACTGTGACTAAAATATAAAATTAATCAGATCTAACAAAACTATTGTAGATCTAACAGTCTAACAATAGTTGTTAATTAAACGTTAAAGAAAACGTTCTTCCGAGTACAATAAAATAATAACATCGTAATTTGACTGACTTAAAATCAGGAAGAGTTTTCGTTTACAAGACAATAAAACAATTATTAACTTACTGGTGTTAGTCAATGGGCTACACTGACCATCTACCCTAACCTTAAAAATAACATCTTCCTCTCAAATTTCACACAAATCCGATGTTAATCGGTGTAAGCCGAGATAATTTACAGCAAGTTTCTTAGATTTAATATGTTTATTTTTATGTTTTTCAATCAAATAACAATAAAATACATGTTAAAAAAGCACTTTCGAAATTCCACGAATATTTTACGTCATTAGAAAGAAGACATAATGAAGAAATTAAACGTATAATCGAACTTTTTGATGTAATGCTGACAATTTCACAGTTTTAGAATAAAAACTCATTCGATTTTTTAATGCGCCCTATAGAGAGGGATATATAACCTCACTTAACCAGCGTGCCGGCTTTTACTATACGGAAATAGCGATGTTGCGGCCGAAGTTTTCATCTCTAAAACTTGAACGTCGAACGTCCAGCGCTGCTTACAAGATAGCGGCGCTCGACATTCACGTTTTAGAGATGAAAACTTCGGCCGCAACCTCGCTAATATCTGATTTCCTGGTCTTCCCTAATAGCAGTCATTCCACGAAAATACGGTAAAAGTTTTGCTGCATTTCGTGGGTTTTTATTTATTAATGTTTTTGACCATATTTTACTGTCCTTCTTCAGGTGGAACACAAATTTGAAAGTAAATTAAGAATGAATGCAATGGTAATTCAAATATAGCATTCTGGATGGAATACAAAACTTTTAGATGTAGAAAACTGGATGATTAAAAATAAAAAGTATTTAAATCAAAATACAAAGTAAAATACATAACAAAAAGACTATATATATAATAATAATAATAATACTGTAATAATAGTAATAATAATAATAATAAACAAAAATATAGAAAAAAATTAAATTGATATTATTATTAGACACTCCTATTTGAATTTATACCTTGAAAGCCAATAAATTTCCAGTAATTATCCACTAGTTACATAATGATATATCATTTCAGAGAACTTTGATGGTTAAGACATGATGCAATCATGTAATATATTTTTCTTTTCATTTCTATAAAATGAATTTTGATAATTAAAAATAATTATATACATTTAAAATATTATCCCTAACTTAGTTCAATGTTTTTGTTTTGTTTACATACAAATATATACATGTTTTGTTTTTCTGACAAATTGTGTATGAAATTGAAACTAAAGATGGTATTACAACATTAGTTTATTTGCTTTATTCAACTCTTTAGTGTAGAAATTTGTTTTATATTAAAATTACCGTCATATAAAATTTAAAACATTAAATAACATTTGAGATAAAGACAATATTAAAATAAATTTTATATAATGACTTCTAAAAAGCTAAAAAGTAAATAAGAGACTTCAACATCCAATTGGATGGTCTGACTATTACAATCCATCAAGTCTTTATCAAATATATCATTGATAGCCAAATTGCAACTCATAAATTGCATATGACTCTTCTAGATCTTTACTGTGACTCCTGGTTAAATTATATATACTGTATAATTCATACATGAATATAATTTATACAGTTTCAATAGAGAATGTGACATTCATATTTTTGATAGGCAATATATGGCTTCTGTTATGACAAGGTTTGGTCAGCCTTGATATATGGAAACACATTTTGAATCCATTTGAAAAGTGACACAAGTCAAAAATATAAAATTTTCAACACAAAGGAACAAGAATTGTGCACTTTAAAATGAACTATTTATGGTAATATTAAATATACATTAAGTTAGAGCTAATCACAAATTGTTTCAAGTTCTCTGAAAGTAATATATATATATATATTATTTTTTATGGTGTTATATTAAACCCTTAAAAATTTGATTAGTGTCATTTTTCCCATTTTCATTCTGTTCATTTTCTGATTTATGACATTCAAAGATAATAAAATGCAAAACAATAAATTTTATTTTTTTTTTATTTCAACATTTAACTTCTTTACAATTCTAATAGAATATATAGAATGTGTGTGCTTATTAAACCCTTTGCTCTTTAAACTTATTATCAGAACTCTAAGTTGTGCACAAAAATATGCATAATATTATAATAAAATAAAAACTAAACAAAGAAGCTTAAAAAAAACAATAATTCAAAAATATCAGAATAACTTTCCAAAATATTTTGAACGAATTAATTTTAAACAGTCCACTTTCTTCTTGTCTGTTGATAATTTTTTGAATATGCTTGCTGTAGGGCAATATTAGTGCTGGTTTTTCTCTTTTGGACTTCTATTTCTCTTCTGATTCTTTAATATAGTATTTGTTTCATTTAATTTTTTGTTTCTTGTCACAATAATAATGTGACAAGAAACAAAAATTTAAATGAAACAGGACTAGACTTTTTGGTTGGATTTTGATAAGGAATAACATGGTATGCTTATTATGTGCTCAGCTGTAATTACCCTGTATATCTGATACAAGAACACTATCATAAACCTAAATATGACAATTTTCTGCTCAAGTTAAAGTTATAATTGACACAAGATATAAAAATCAACAGAACTCAAAATATTTCATTTTTCCTGAAAAATTGCAATGCCACTCATCTGCAGTTGGCACATAACTGAAATGTGACATTGTTCTTGGCTCATTATTGAACATTATTTTAGTTGCCCATAACAATACTTGCAGACTCACGCAAAAATTATTTGAATTAATGTTGTGCCTCTTCTCTGATTGAAGACATATATGTAGAATATAATTAGCAGATAAAATGAAATTTGAAAAATTTCATTTTATCTGCTAATTATATTCTACATATTCTAATTCAGATAAAATGATATTTGAAAAATTTGACTTGTGTCACTTTTCTTGAGGTGGGTGATTTTTGTTTGAATGAGTTGGTTGCCAATGGACAAAATTTTTATCATATTATTTCATTTTATTTATCAAATATTAATAAAACATATAATAATTATTGAAAATATTAAACTTTAAAAAAATACTCCTTTCTGGAATATTTTTGTTTTGAAAGTTGTGATTGATTGTAACTTGAACCTTTCCATTAGGAAAATACAGTAATGAGAATAATGAGTTTCTGGAGATAGCTACAACTTTCCAATTATATTTTCATAATTATTGTAATTGATATTGAAAGTTTTTTTTCAATAAATAAAATAAAAATGGATGAATTAAGCATTAAAAAATCTGCTGTTATCAGCTGCCATCTTCTTTTACCAGTGTTTACTATTGTGACTGATTTGAAATTTTCTATGTGAAAATAAATTATTTTTCACATAGCAGGAGCAAAATGTCTATCTGAACTAAACTTATTGTTCCTTTACAGCAAATAAAAACCAAGCAATGAACTTTCAAATTCATGTCATTGGATATTATTCACATTAAAATTATTTTTTGAGTTTATTTTAACATTCATTATTATTACCTTTTTATTATTATTACTTCATAAACTATATAGAAATTATAACACCGTAATTGATAAAATTACCTAACTTCACTGCCTGTAACCGGTGTTCTTCTCCAATACGAAGGACTTTGCAAACGTTTTCGAACCTAATGTGGTTCTTCTTCAGGCGCTATGGAATTCTCTATATGAATTTGAATTTCCAGTCTAGAATTAACCGTTATTTTGGAAAATCTTTCTGGAACGTTGTCACGTGTTACCGATGGCGTCATTGTAGACTTGCGCATTATCCGTATGTTGTTACTTTAGAGATTTATTGAGGAAGGCTTCCCATGCTGTTGATATCTTCATTTCTTGTTTGAAGTTAATGCAGTGCTTATTCCTGAGGGTGTTAAGGCAAATGTATAAGGCCTCTAGCCATCTGAGGTGTTGTGTGCTGAACGTGGTGTGAATAATTCTGGCTAGAGGGAATAGCGGCTCTATTTCTGGGTCGAATGAGTATACCGCTAAGGCGGTGTTGTTTCTATGATGTAGGGTGTTCGCTTTGTGTTCCTTGATTCTAGTTATTAAGTTGCGTTTAGTGGACCCGATGTAAATTACTTCGCTGTTGTCTCTATGATCTGTGATGGGCACAGAGTATACTCCCGGAAGTCTGTTGCTGTCTGAAGAGTCTTTTCCATTTCTAAGCCAATCGAACATTGTGGCGCACCTCCTAAATGCCAAGCGGACATTCTTTTTCTTGGTTATCTGGTTGTATATGGCCTTAAGTGCCGGGTTGTACGTGATTGTATGTACTTAACCAGGGAATCATTGGAACGAGAGGTGTTGTTGGATTATTGTTTGAGTACATTGTTGTTTATCTTGCATACGATGTTGTGATAGCCATGTTGTTTAGCTATTTGCTCTATGCGTCGCATTTCAGAATTGAAAGCTGATTGTGACGAGGAATGTGAATATGCTCTTTTGATTAGGGTGTTGAAAGCTGCCATTTTATACTGTGGTGGGTCACATGATGTTGCAGGTATATACACATGATGAGTGGTATGTACAAAGGTTGAGTCATCCGACCCAGAAATAGAGCTGCTATTCCCTCTAGCCAGAATTATTCACACCACGTTCAGCACACAACACCTCAGATGGCTAGAGGCAATATACATTTGCCTTAACACCCTCAGGAATAAGCACTGCATTAACTTCAAACAAGAAATGAAGATATCAACAGCATGGGAAGCCTTCCTCAATAAATCTCTGAAGTAACAACATACGGATAATGCGCAAGTCTACAGTGACGCCATCGGTAACACGTGACAACATTCCAGAAAGATTTTCCAGAATAACGGTTAATTCTAGACTGGAAATTCAAATTCATATAGAGAATTCCATAGCGCCTGAAGAAGAACCACATTAGGTTCGAAAACGTTTGCAAAGTCCTTCGTATTGGAGAAGAACACCGGTTACAGGCAGTGAAGTTAGGTAATTACTTCATAAATAAAGCAAATGAAGCAATTGAAGCAATATGATGATGATAATTATTTAATAGACATTTGTATAATCTACACATGAAGTTATGGAGGTCCTCTCAATATTCTGTTGTAATTATATATATAAACGAACAGAATAACATCTAAACACAAATTTCCAGCAAATAGATACACACACATTTAATGCTCAAACATTTTTGGCCATTATTTTATTGGCCCTCACAAAATATTTGTGTGTTTAGGTGTTATTCTGTTCATGTATAGTTCCAGTTTACTTGTGCAGTTGTTTTATATATATATTTACAATAAAATGTAATAGAAAAGTATTTTAATGTTTGATGTGATATCTTCTAAACTGCATACTAATTAGTGTCATACTTTCAATGCTGCTTCAGGGGAGTGGGGTGTATAGTGGTGTATTCTAGCATCTTCTCTGGGGTATATACTGCTATGGGTTATCTTCAGTAGTTACTTTGCATTAGAAATCTTTGTAAAAAATGAATTTGAATTTCTATATCAAAAGTAATTTAATATAAACATTTTTAATGTGTATCTGAGTAAATTTAATATTAACAATTTATTTGGAGAATAACCTAATAGTTAAAATTTAAATTAATAACTGCACTATTAATCTTGAAGACTCAAACCATTATCTAATAATTGTGGTTCTTATGGAATTTTAAAGGTAAGAAAGGCTGATTTAGTTTGGTTCCAAAGTTAACTTGGTAAATTTAAAAAATTTTTTTAGAAAATTGTTATATGTATAATTTTAATAATAAAATTTTTTTACAATGACTCATTATGACAATTAGTTTTCAGCCCTCGATATAACAATTCAGTATTTTTCCTTAAAGTATGTAAATAACTGGCTGTCATAGTACAACTTATCACATTGAAACTGACATAGGTTAACAAACACACAAATATTATATATACAGATTTAATTTAAATTACACTACATTAAACACATCTTTGTATGCATTTCAAACTTCTGTGTCCTCTTCAGCCAAAATTTAAAACAAATAAAAAAAAACAAACCAAATAAAACATGCCAGAATAACAATGAATATGATGAAATATCTGATGTAAATTATAATTATAAATCTACAGAAATTTTTAAAAAATTGTTACTTAAAATATATTTTAAATGAATATCATCTAAAAGTAGTAACAAATGTGCTGCCTTTTATTAACATTTTTCTTTTTATTGAAAATGGTTTGACTTCTCTCACTTTTAGTGTTAACTATATGTTAAATGTTCTTCCAAAATTATGCTATTTTACTATATTTTTACACTGTATTTTACCATTTTTTTCCACTACTTTTTAATTAGTAGAGGAGAGTGTGGTATTATGGAACCCTAATTACATTTTAGTGAATTGTATACAAGGTATCATAACTACACCCACATTTTTTGTGCGAAAAGTACTGGTAACTATTAAACTAAATGTTCCTAATTGAATTTTTTGCTAGTGTAACTATAAATATGGTTTTTGAAGGCTTTTGTGCAAAAAGTCAGAAAGTAGGCTTAGAGAAAATCGAGTGGTAATATGGAACCTTACTGTATATTTTCAAAAAATGCTTTAATGTAGCCAAAAACAAATAGGAAAGTACAAAAAATGTTAAATAATTACAAAATTATTTACTCCAATGTATTTTATCGCAAAAATGCTTTTATAATAGAAAAATATGACCTCCATCAACAATATATATTCCAGCAGCTCTTTTTCGATATTCTCAGGAAGAATTGACTTTCTATCTAGTACAAATTGTTCCAGACAAATGTCTGCTTGCAAAGAAGAGAGTTCGGAGGAGTTGAGTTCCATATTACTGTAAAAGCACCAATGGGGTCTGTATTTCACACATTGCCATCTTGAATTTACTTATGTCTGTCAAGACCAAAATTTGAAAAATGTGAACATCACACAGATTAATATATACCCCTAAGTTTCTGGAATGGAATACATGCACCAGTGAACCTACAACTACACGATTTATATTTTAGAAATAATTAAATTCACTTAACATTCAAACTTGCGAATTTTGTAAAAAACAAATTTGCTGATTAAATACAGACAACCATTTAACTGAAGTAAAACGGGTTTTCCCCTTGCTATGGATATCTGCCTAGTTCAGTTCAGCTACAATCTGCTACAGTTTGCCTTTATTATCAGTTTGAAATGTGGTGGTTCCATAATACCCACAATGCTCCGTGATACCACCTTTTCCTCTAATACTTTTTCTTTTATTTTCCTATTTGTCAAGTGTTTCAATATACATTATCAATTCTTTTACATTAATAACAGCAACAAAAATTTAAAATTATTAATAACAGCAAAAAAAGGGAAAATAAAAGAAAAAAGTGTCTCTGATTAACTTTCCCTGAAACATTTGGTGGTGCCATATGTTGTTATATTTTATTTTTAAAATTTTTTTATATTTTAAACTATTATAAAAGGCAAAAAGCTTAATTTCGAAAGTAGGGATAGGTTTTATAAAAAATTGTAAATGCTAATAATGAATAAAATCGTCATTAAGTCTGATCCTACTCGAGATACACATGACCCCCCCCTTTATCTCCCCACTCTTTAACCTTTAATTACCAAATTTAATAGCATCAATCCTATTAGTGAATAAACCTCCCAGCAAAATTTCAGAAATTTTTGACAAAAAGCACAGGCATTATTAAGTTTCAAACAGGGTGAACAAAATTGTGCCCCCCCCACACTAACATAAAGACATACAGAGAAAAACCCCAAATTTTTTTTGCATTTCTCAACATTTCAAGGTGTCCTGAGTTCAACAATGTAAAAATCTTGGATCATGTTTTGACTAATTGCCATAGTTTTCCTCTGTTATATATAACATTTGGGAAAATAAAAGTATTGAAAAATGGTAAAATGTAGTTTAAAAAATATAGCAAAAATGTATAATTTTGTAAGAACATTGAATATATAATTAACACTAAAACTAAGAGAAGTTAAATGATGAACAAAACTAGAACTGTGATTAACATGAAAATCTGAACACTAATTGATTACTAACTATTACTGAATGCTAAAATTTTAATTAAAGAATTTAACTTTAGAGAATTTTTAAAATCTCATGAAATAATTTAATAATAATATTAGTATGAATTCTTAGATTATTTTAGTAAGAGAGAGAATTTTTTTTAACAGGGATCATATTGGGCAATAGATCATTCTTCGACAGATTCTATATCCAGGAAGAAAAAGCCAAAACTTGTAAGTTTTTAAGTATTGCAGATAACTGAAGGACTGATTATATATAATTATGATTAATTATTGAGGAAACCTCAATAATTAATCATAATTATATATAATTAATAATTTAATATTACTTTAGCAAATTAAAATATAAAATTAATACTATTTTTAAGAATAAAATAACTTCTGAATAATAAAAATTATAAAATATTTTAATGTGTGGTGTTGTATTTTAGAAATTTTTTTTTTAAATATGTTTTAGTGAAGATGTTTAAAGATCTTCCTTTTAGCTAAAGGAAGTAGGACACTTCTGATCAAAAAAATGTTTAGAGATAATAACTACTGGCAGTTTTTTTTTTTTACTTTTTAATATCATATGACACATTGCATCTTTAAATCACTTGTTTAGTTTTAATACTATTTAATAAACACATTATTTTTGTTTTTAGGTATGATAAAAATGTTTGTACAGTTCATATTTTAAGTTTTTAATTTTGCAACTTTCAGATTATTATAACATAATTGTTTTAAAAATCTAATAACAGTTTGTAATAATAAAGATAGCAACAATAGTTTTTGAGTTTAAAAACAGTTGTTTTAATTATAATGTTATTTTAATAAAAAAGCAAATGTTTCAACAAATTTTTACCTTATTACATATGTAGTACAAGCCATAAAACAGTTGGAAACTTAAAAAAAGAAACTGAAATAATGTTTTTATATAATTAATATATTATTGTTTTCTAATTATAAACTGTTATAATGCATATAGATTATTGTACTATACAAATAAATGACTATTGCTATCAAATTAGTTCATATAATCTCTTACAGTAAATAATGCATAAATTTGCTTAAAGTTTGCTTAAATATTTTTGTTACACCAAATTTTATCTTTTTAAAATATACTTGACCTCTTTTTATCATAAAATTCAAATAAAAATTAGTTTATTGCCATTATGCATGATGTAAGCATGTGGTTAATCAGATACTATTGACGGCTTGTCTTTGGATTATCATTTTGGGAGTCTGGGACTCAAATATAGGTTGCAGCTGCATGGTTTTCACAGTTGTTAATTGTATATAGTTGTCAGAGCTTTTATATAGTACATATAAATGAATTTTATCTAAACTATAGTTATAAAAATTTCTGTACTTTAAATGAAAGATATTTATATTAATTTTCATTAGATAGTTTAAAAGAAAGATTACATTATTCAGATGGAAAGTAAGATGTCTATAACTGATGTTTTGTTGCAGGACTGTAAGATCAAAAATTTTAAGAAAACAAACAGTGGCACAAAAAAGCTAGAAAAGAGACAAACTATTACAAACATCTTGCATATTCACATTAAATGAAAAGTTTCAGAGCTGGATCATCATTTCATCTATGAAACCTGCTGTATAGACTTAGATGTAAAGTCTATAAGCATGTTTGATGATGGGGATGAAGTCTTTACAAAATTTACCTGCAAGCAACAATTTTGACACAATTCTTATAATATAATAGAATTAAGAAAATTTTGGTGTATATTGTTTCTAGTTTAATTGATCATTTCCATTACTAGTTTCTATGGATTTTTTTTAAAGCCTAAAATTTTTTACTTTTTTTCAGTAATTTATATCAAATAAGGAACTCTTATTGATACAGACTTTATTACTGGATGTGGATATGCATTTCAGGTCTTAATGACCTCTCTTCAATCTTTATTTTTTTATATAGATCTTATTAAAATAAATAATAGTTATAAATTACATCACACATAACATGTTTACAGAAAATATTTACAAAAAAAGTTTTTTCTATTTACATTATCTGATTATTGAATACAAATTGAAATTAAAAATTGGGCAATTAACTGGATATATTATAATTTTTTTAAATTTTATAATCTATTTAATATATTTTAAATACAGTAGAACCTCCATTATCCGGATTTTCGATTATCTGGATTGTTCAAAAGAAACAAAAATTTTACGAATTTGCTGATTTAAACTTGGCGAATTATGACACTGTTTATGTACGTGATGGAATGCATAACTTTTTTTTGTTTCAACAACATCTCACCCATCACAGTGGTCGTAAACTCTTAAATATATTTTACGTAGTAATAAAAATATAACTTGACATACGTATTTATAAATAATTTATATTCAAATTACATCATTTCTATGACCAAGGGCGGCGTAAGGCATGGACGACGTGGGCAACCGCCTATGCCTCGCGGTCCGAAGGGCCTCGCGCCTCGAAGGTTTATGCATTACTTAAAAGCCGCGAACGCGACGAAAAAATTTTACTCGTCATAAAACGATAAATAGTTTGTCAAATTTTTATTCATAAAAATGCAGTTTCAACTGCTTTTTATTTTATAAAATCCGTCTTCTTGCGCCACCAGAGGGCCTTTTAAACAATAGGTAGTCTGTTAGCGTTGGTCAGTAGTAGTCCAAATTCAATACGAACGTTTGTTTCTTGAAAATTTGATCACGATTTAAATACAGTATTTACTTTTAATATTACCGATATGTCATCGAAAAGAAAACGTGTTGTATTATCATTAAAAGACAAATTAAAGTATTTGTTTCGATTATCCAGATTTTTCCTTATCCGGACTACCTTCATCCCCAATTAGTCCGGATAATCAAGGTTCTACTGTATTATAAAGATAAATAAAATACAGCGTTCTTTGGTTTTTTTTAACTAAAAGTCTGTTAAATGTACAAAAGGCAGACAGATATAAGAACCAAAATTCATTTTTAGAGCTTAATTGACTTTTTAAGCTGTGACAATTGTATGTGTATATAAATATTTTTGTTTATTTTAATTCATCAAACAACCTGAGTTATATTGAAAACACTACTCTTTTGGAAAATTTATTTGCATCACCAAAAACAAATTCTGAATACTGTACTTTTGAGCTCCCTGTAAGGTTTATATAAAAACGGACTTTTTAAAAAACCGGTTTTCAAATTTCATCTTTTCTACAAAACTGGTTTTAACTGGTTTTCAAATTTTTATTCTCCCCAAAATTAAGATAAGAGATATATTATATTATATTATATTTATTTTAGTTTATATCATATTATAAACTTATTTTAAAAGTTTTTAATTTATTTAATATTTATAAAATATCAAAAATATAACACAATAAAATCAACTAATGTCTCCAAAACACAATACAAAGGAAAATGCTAAATTATCACATTAAACTATAAAATTTACTCCATAGAAAACCAAAAAGAAAAATGAATGACAATGAATGGCTACAAAATATTATTTCTTATTTTTCCTAAGAAATATGATTTTAGAAAGCAAAGAATGTCTATAGATCTATTGCTCAACTGTGTCCTTATTTTGCACACAAAATTGCCAGAAATAGAAAAACTCTCTCAGTTGCTACTGAGCTAGGTTTAATCGTCTTTAAAGCATTAAATAATAAATCTAAATTTTTTGTTCTTATGTTTATTTCCACTAATACTAAAAATTCATTTTTTAGTATCTTAGGGCTGGATGAAGTCACTTCTTCAGGTTCTTGAAGATATTTATGTATTGATTTTCCCATACCATTTTTTAAAGCTATGGCTTGATCATCTTTGCCACTTTTCATTGTCGCAGTCATAATCTGTAGAATAATTTGGATATAATTTCAATAATATTTGTCCAGATAACTTAATGATATCAGATTTTGCAGCTAGTGGAAGAAATACACTAGATGACTTCATTCAAATGTTCTTCTCCTTTATTTACAAAATCCACAGAAGTGTTAATGATCCATTTGTCTTCCTTTTGAATTCATACCTCTATAGCAATGTTTTTCAACCTTCTTGAATATGCGACCGCTTTGCAAGTTAAAAACTTCTGGCAAACCCCCTGGGCCATATTGAAACTATATCAGTGATTTTAAAAACTATGTATTTAATTTTCTTTCTGTTGAAACCTAAGTATCAATCGAAAAACCAATTATACTGTAAAATAAACAGGTATAGCCTTCTCACTGAAATTGTAGTTTTTTTTTTTTTTTCATTGTAGTGTAGGACCTACAAACACTTGTCTTTTTCTTTTACCCAAACCCCTCGTGTAAAGCTTTGTGACCCCCCTGGGGGTCGCAACCCACAGGTTGAAAAACACTGCTCTATAGCATTTAACAACTTGGAACTAATTTCAGTTTTAAAATTTTTCAATTGTGTAACAGAAATTCAAATATCCTAAGGCATCAGTTGCTAAATGTATTGGTCATAAAACTTTAAGAAGCTCTACAATTTTACAATACAGTACTGTCCCGAAAACTCGGCACTTGATAACCCGGCAGTCCGGATAACTCAGCCACACCCTGGCAGGATGAAAAAACCCCCTAGTTAATTTTCATTATAGACAACTTTATGCCTCATAAAGCATTTTTCTGAAATTGTCTTATCAGGTAAATTACTGTATACTGAGTATTCATTAACTTTCATTTTTATGTAGTAAAGGCTCTATGCCTTNTTGTACCCCCCCTGGGGGTCGCAACCCACAGGTTGAAAAACACTGCTCTATAGCATTTAACAACTTGGAACTAATTTCAGTTTTAAAATTTTTCAATTGTGTAACAGAAATTCAAATATCCTAAGGCATCAGTTGCTAAATGTATTGGTCATAAAACTTTAAGAAGCTCTACAATTTTACAATACAGTACTGTCCCGAAAACTCGGCACTTGATAACCCGGCAGTCCGGATAACTCAGCCACACCCTGGCAGGATGAAAAAACCCCCTAGTTAATTTTCATTATAGACAACTTTATGCCTCATAAAGCATTTTTCTGAAATTGTCTTATCAGGTAAATTACTGTATACTGAGTATTCATTAACTTTCATTTTTATGTAGTAAAGGCTCTATGCCGTCATAAAGTACATACTTTTCTTTTGTTTAAGGGTATTTGGACAGTTTATTCTCTGTTGTATTCTCAAGCAAACAATACCTACAATTACAGTACAGTATTTTCTGAGGAAACACTCTTACTTATTGTTTTTTAACCCCATTCCCGATAACCCGGCATTTTCACAAACTCTGCCACCCTTTAGTCCACATTAGGCCAAGTTTTCGAGACTCTACTGTACTCTGCTTCATTCCACATGTGAGAAGCATCAATGTCATTTAAAGCTAAAATAACACATTCTTTTAAGTGTACATATCTTTCTACCATTTTTCCATTGTTGGCGAGATTTCTCCCAATTATAGGAAGAATTGGATGCTCTTTAGGCATAGGGAGATTTTTTTTTGTTTTTGGTAGTTAGTGTTATGAAACATAGTATTTAACAATATTCCCATTTTATGCCAGAGACTATTTTTTGTCAAAATGTTGATGTTTTTAATCAAATAATTAAGTTTTATATTTAAGTTTAGTCTCAAAAACTGGTATTTTTAAGTTGAGAAAACCTGGTTTTCAAATTATATAAATTTCTTCAAAAAACCAGTTTTTCAAAACCAGGTTTTAAAAATTGACAAACCCTAGCTCCCTGGCTCGTCACAGATATCCAATTACTAAATATCAGAGAAAATAAAAACTTGAAACTCTGATTTAAAATTTAAAAATGTTCCAATTTTTCATGAAATTTGGTCTGCTTGTAACTTTGGAATTCAATGGAACTGTTTTACTATGATAGATAGTAATTGGACATCTCTAATAATGAGCCAGGAGACTTACAAGTACTCAAGTCTTATTTTTTAGTGGTATGAGTAAAATAGTTCAATATGTAGTGTTTTAAAGATTGTAATGTTTGGAGGCAGGCTTTGATTTTTTTGTGGTTTTTTTCATCTGTATCTTATTTGTATCTGTAATGACTATTGAGGAATTATTATTATTCTGCAATAAATTTGTCAAATTAAGTTTTTAGTGAAATATATAAGATGTTAATATTTAACAGTGACAAGTAATTGTCATTTCATGTTGAAATTCTGGATTTTCAGTTTATTGACAAGACTATGTCAATAAANTGTAATGACTATTGAGGAATTATTATTATTCTGCAATAAATTTGTCAAATTAAGTTTTTAGTGAAATATATAAGATGTTAATATTTAACAGTGACAAGTAATTGTCATTTCATGTTGAAATTCTGGATTTTCAGTTTATTGACAAGACTATGTCAATAAACTAAAATCGTACTGACCGATGTTCTTACCAGCGTAGAGGTATGAAGGAGTACAGTACATGTCAAGAGTTGATATTTGACACAGAGTATTAGATGCCCAAATCATTTGCACACAAAAAAATTCAGACGCTTAGGTAGTCAGGGGGCCTAGAATCGGGTCAAAATAAAATACAAAATGGCAACCGTCTTCTACAAACAGGCAAAATAGCCACCTCATTCCACCGAAGTCTGGTAGGGGAGAGTANGAGTATTAGATGCCCAAATCATTTGCACACAAAAAAATTCAGACGCTTAGGTAGTCAGGGGGCCTAGAATCGGGTCAAAATAAAATACAAAATGGCAACCGTCTTCTACAAACAGGCAAAATAGCCACCTCATTCCACCGAAGTCTGGTAGGGGAGAGTACCACCCACAGTCATTCTAAGAAGTGAACTCTGACCTTAGGACTGAACACACAGTTTATTCTATGTTAAATAAAATTTGTAATCTAATTTTGTAAATTTGGGGGTGCTTCAAATATGACATTAAAATGATTTTATGTCGTTACAAGTGGGTTTTTTTTAACATTATCTAGTATAGTAAAATCGTAGGACCAATAAAAATTTGACGTTATATTAGGATTGTCATTACATCCGATGATGTTATAATTGGCTTAAACTGTATATTGTTTGTGCAAAATAAAAAAATAATTTCAGACGATACAATAGCCATGATTATTTTTTTTCAAAAACGGGAACTTTTTGTTACACATTGACAAAAATTCAACCTGAGCCGACACGCAACAGAGAGAAATTTTGAAATTAGATAGGTTAATTTCATCGAAGATGCATCGTGGCTGGCAAAGTTTGAACAATTGCACCCAAAAGCAGCGATATCAAAGAAGATAGGAGAATGAGACCCAGCAGAGTAGTGTGGGTGTCAGCCGTCCGGTACAGAGGAAAATTATTTAGGTATCTCAATTTAAAAAAAACTAAAATTCAGTTTTGTAACAGAACAAGTAATGAAAATTTCCTTGCCAGTGTAGCCACCTGATTAAAATAGCTTCATTGGAAATTGGAGGTGTATGTGTATACATCAATGTTAAGCCTAACAAAAATTTTTATAATAATGTGAGGGCCCGGATTGAAGATTCGAGTATTTTTATTCATTAGGTTAAAAGTTAGGGTTAACTCAAAAAGAGAAAAACAACCGACAAATTTTCTCATAAAAATTGCTCATAAAACTGTTCCCACGGGGATACTTCCTTGTAGAGGATGAGTTAACAGTTGTGTCATAAATTTGTCACTTCGCCCACCATTGGTCTAAGAAGATCATCACCTTTGACGTACATGGGGAAATCTCAAAAACAGAACCCCATATAAAAGGCAAGTGCGATGACGACACGAGGGAAAGTTCTTTTTCTATACTGTGAGTGTGTCCGTGGATTACCTGCCTCTCGTCGCCACCGTCTTCAATAGACTTTGGTTACGACTTTGAACTTTGACTTCAAACATTGGACTGAATTACGAACTTGGAAAGAACGAGAACTTGGATCAACCCGACATCAACATTGTAACTAGAGATATTTATTCTACTCGCGAGGGTATGTAAGCTCTCTCTCGAATATTTCCAACTCGCAATTAGGGTCCCGACTAATTTATATTTTGTCCGCTATCAACCCAGAACCTATGACTTACGGATCGAAAAGCCCAAGAGGGAACTGTAACCTCGATTCCTGAATTAATTATCTATGTAAACTGTTCAACAATAAATGGGTATATTGTTAATGAACTTGGATTGGTGTGTGTTTCTTCCGACATTATCCACTCCATACTGAACCTGAAGTCCTCGACAAGATCAGTCATGATAATTCCTCCTCAAATTAACTGCGTATCTATCTGCGACGAAAATGATAGAGAGGTGTCAGATCCTGACGTGAAATAAGGATCTCGCAATCCTTAACTTTAAAACCCTTCCGCTCAAAAGAATCCATCCTTTAGACAAGCGAGACCAGACCTCAAGGTCTTGAGTCGAGTAAGCGGTAGGAGAGTCAAGAACTCGTAATCTGCCTACCCTTGATTAGTCTCACAATACTAATCATGGCTATTGTATTGTTAAAAATTATTTCTTTATTTTGTACAAACAAATAAATATATTGAAAAATATAAAAACAAAAAAAATTACACTTTAGAAGTTAATCTAGTATCAAAAACGTTCAATTCAGCACGACACAGTTCAACTGGAACGCTTTTGGTTGATCAGCTTTCGGATAATTGACGCTTTACCATAATTAACATTTTTATAGAAATATATAGTACATTTATTAGGATTTATTGACATACTCAAAGGATTTTATTATGTTGGCAGTAATAAAATCCTTTGAGTAAGTTTTTAAATTTTAAATGGTTTTAATTAAATTATAACAAACTTCTTAAATTAGCATTGAAATTTTTTTTAGAATTATGTTAAAATAATCTTATTTGATATGAATTCAACAGAAAAAACAAAAAATATTTAAGTATTTTTTGAATAAAAATATACTTAACATGAAAGAATACAGTTTATATCTGGATGATAACTTTTTTCTTGTATTAGTACAAACACTTTAGAAACAATGATATGTTTATCTTTACAGACATCTTTTTTACATCAAAAAACTGCTTTTCTTTTGCTTTCAAAACAAAAATTCTGTATTGAACATACTGTAGTGTTGCTTTTAATTTTTTAAATTATTTGAAAATTTACTAATTTTAAAATATTAAGGAAATTGAAAGCTTATTATTGAAAATAAATGTTTGTGTTATTTTAATAAAAAGCCCAAATTAGTAATTATCAATATTTAAAATTTCTAAGAAATTAATTTTTTCAGAATTGTCCTTATAGCCCAGATGATGGTTATAGTAACATGTCATCAATGTCTGGATGGCAACAATCACCTCCAGCATGTCATCAGGACATTCCACCATTAGTTCACAATCACTATCAGGTAGAGTATATAATTATTTATGAAAATTATTGAAAATACCAATTTTTACAAAATTTTTGAATTTCAGAGTATGGATAGGATAGAACAGTCAAGAAGTCAAGAAAATACTTATCCAGAAATGGGTATGAAAATATTTATTGAAAAATTTCTAAATTAGAACATAAGTGTATTACAAANAATCATGGCTATTGTATTGTTAAAAATTATTTCTTTATTTTGTACAAACAAATAAATATATTGAAAAATATAAAAACAAAAAAAATTACACTTTAGAAGTTAATCTAGTATCAAAAACGTTCAATTCAGCACGACACAGTTCAACTGGAACGCTTTTGGTTGATCAGCTTTCGGATAATTGACGCTTTACCATAATTAACATTTTTATAGAAATATATAGTACATTTATTAGGATTTATTGACATACTCAAAGGATTTTATTATGTTGGCAGTAATAAAATCCTTTGAGTAAGTTTTTAAATTTTAAATGGTTTTAATTAAATTATAACAAACTTCTTAAATTAGCATTGAAATTTTTTTTAGAATTATGTTAAAATAATCTTATTTGATATGAATTCAACAGAAAAAACAAAAAATATTTAAGTATTTTTTGAATAAAAATATACTTAACATGAAAGAATACAGTTTATATCTGGATGATAACTTTTTTCTTGTATTAGTACAAACACTTTAGAAACAATGATATGTTTATCTTTACAGACATCTTTTTTACATCAAAAAACTGCTTTTCTTTTGCTTTCAAAACAAAAATTCTGTATTGAACATACTGTAGTGTTGCTTTTAATTTTTTAAATTATTTGAAAATTTACTAATTTTAAAATATTAAGGAAATTGAAAGCTTATTATTGAAAATAAATGTTTGTGTTATTTTAATAAAAAGCCCAAATTAGTAATTATCAATATTTAAAATTTCTAAGAAATTAATTTTTTCAGAATTGTCCTTATAGCCCAGATGATGGTTATAGTAACATGTCATCAATGTCTGGATGGCAACAATCACCTCCAGCATGTCATCAGGACATTCCACCATTAGTTCACAATCACTATCAGGTAGAGTATATAATTATTTATGAAAATTATTGAAAATACCAATTTTTACAAAATTTTTGAATTTCAGAGTATGGATAGGATAGAACAGTCAAGAAGTCAAGAAAATACTTATCCAGAAATGGGTATGAAAATATTTATTGAAAAATTTCTAAATTAGAACATAAGTGTATTACAAATATTGGTAAGAAAATATATATTTTAATATATTTTCTTACTGATTGAAATTGTGAAAAATGCTAATTAATCAGAAATTTTTATTTTGTGTGTAGCATTCTTGTAATCCAAAATAAGTACACCACTGAAGAGGGGTTGGGAACATAAACCAACTTGAAATGCATTTGGATAAAAAATTGTTTTATATAAACCGTAATGTTTTCCTAACCAATTCCTGTTTGGTCGTCTACCAAGAATCATTTTTTGGACTACAAGGACATTACACACAGAATTTGAATATACAGCAACCATACCTTCTACAGAAATTTTTAATTCCTTAATTAGTAAATTATGAATATTTTGAAAGTATATAGTATTTTTATCTGACCTGAACAGAAAGGGTAGAGGGTTGAATAATGAAAATTTTTAGATGATATTGAATCACTTACAATATTAGATTGATGGATTTAACGGAAAATATTAGAAAATGGATTTAAGGTTCAGTAATGAAATCAATCTATAGACTTTTGTGTGTTCATCTTCAACCTTATGCAGGAATCATTATTTCATTGTTATTAAAATAAAACTTAATAATAATTGTTTAATTTTATTTTACTTTATTATTAAAAAAAAAAGATGTTTTGAAGAAAGAAGAAACTCAATTTGAATAAAAACATTCAATGATAAAATTATAGAACAAAATTAAACACCTTAACAGTGAGAAATTGAAAATGTTTGTTTGTTTGAAATATAATGAATATGACTCATAATAATTGAACTACTTTTTAAAAATTTCTTATTATTACAAATGTTTAAATAAGAAATTCAACTTTCAAGAAACGAACTTTAAATTAGAATGTTATATCAGTGGTTTATTATTATTTTTTGCTTACTGTTTATGTAATTAATTTTCACTCAATCAAACTTTATTAGCAAAAAGGGAGTTTTCCTGTTGCAGGGGTAATACATATTTTGAATAAAAATTTACAAAGACACTGTAGCAGCTTACAAATTATCAAATTTATACACATAAATACACTAGGTACTGTGTAATCCTGTTGTAACATAAACAAAGAATACAATTTTTCAGAAGTAACAATACAGATACAATTGACTTTTATTCAATGTTGACATATATTGAGTACGTTTTTTTTAGTTTTTTATTATTTCTATGATTTTGATGAAATAGTTATATAGATTATAAAGGTCTTTTTTTATCAAGGTTTTTTAAGTTATTTCTGAAATTGAGAGATGGATTACATTGAAGAATACACATGATATTGTATGAGTCTCATGTATTTGCAAAGCTTTGACAATTTTGTATTAGATGTTGCATTGAGAAATCATCGGATTTGCACCAGAAGCATTGGTTATTTGAAAAATTGATATAGGTATTGCTAATGAAAAGTGAATATTTACTGAGACATAGTTGGGCTATTAATCTTTTCAAACTAAGATTTATCGGTTTATTCATGTACAATTTGGAGGATGGTATTTTTAGGATATCTGTATACTAAGGATGGTAATTTCTTTAACTTAGGCTGACTTGATCTTTGTTTATAGATTGAGAAATTGCAGTTTCCGGTAAAGTGTGTATCCATATTTCCAGTCCTGAAGATTATCTTTAAAAAGAACTTAGTATTTTGTTAAATTTATTTTGTCAGAGATGTTCTGATTTTGGTTATTTTTACAATATTTAGTTATTTCCAGGTGTAAAAAGGTAATGTTGTCATCACTTTTGAATTTTAGTTGATAATAAAATTTAATAAATTATTTTAAGAAGAAAGGATAAAACCATATGCGATTAGTTTTGTGGCGTATGGCATAACCAGGGACTGTTCTCTCCAAGTGAAGTTTGTGGAGGAAGTAGATGTGAAAACTTTCTAGTCTATATAGATAGTTTATGCCCCAGATTGAACTTACATAATAAATGATTGGGTTGATTATCGAATTATAAAGTTTTATGTGAATAAACAAATTTGAAGTTTTTAAGTAGAGCACAAAAATAGCTAATTGTCGATGGCTGATTTTACTTTGTTGTTCATAATGGATGTGTGCACTTTAAATGTAAGATTCTAGTCAAATGTTACTCTCAAGGAGTTTACTTCATTTACTATCTGCAGAAGATTTTTTTCCAGATATATCATAGATTCTTTTTTCAAAAATTTAATGATGGTGGGAAAAAAAAAGAACTGTCATTTTACTGGGATTTATTATTAGATGTATCAATTTGAAATATAAGTTTAACTGGTTGATTTTTCTTTGCAAGGAGATTTTTGTAGGAGCCACAATTACCAGATCGTCTGCAAATAGGACACAATGAAAGATTCTATTGCCGATTTCAATGCCGTCAGTAGGTTCTTGGAAAAGATGGTCTATTTCTAATAAACAGAAATTAAATAAGTAGGGTGAAAGGGAGTCTCCTTGAAGTACACCCAGGATAACATTAACGGAGGGGAGAGGGATTTGCCCTGTTTAATTTTTATATTGTATGTTGAGAATAATTTAGATATTGTGGATGAAAAACGATTACGTGCTCCTTTAGCTTTTAAATTGTACACCAATAAGGGAACGAAAACCGAGTCGAAAGCCTTTTGAATGTCTACAAATTTAGTTAAATGAAGTTGTATTAGTGATGATAAGAAGAAGATTGTGGATTCTGTTCCTATGTTTTTAATATATGCATACAGGAATTTAGCTTCTAGGTCCATTATTTTGGTCCACAGTTGAAATTTAGTTGCCAGTATTGATGTGAAGCATTTTCTTAGGACTGGAAGTAAAGCTATAGGTCTATAATTGCTTGGGGAAACTTTGTTGCCCTTTTTGTATATCATTGTAAGAATAACAGAGTTCCAAGAATCTGGGTATTTAGTTGCATTATACATTGAGTTGAATAAGTGCAATAGTTTTATTTTAGTGGGATATGGGAGTGTCTTCAGGAATTTGGTGGGGATACAGTCTCTTCTGGGGGTTGTGTTGCTTTGAGTTTTGTTTGATATTTTCTAATTCTTTAAATGTAATTTTAGAGTCTAAGTACTCATTGTCAAAGTCAGTATTAGATATTAGGGGTGGAATTGGTTGAACATCAGGAAATCACAGGTAGAAGTTTTTCCATGTTTCAAAGTTTATTATTGATGTGTTTTTGCTTAGATCTGTTTTAAAATGAAATTTTCGTATTATAGACCAAAATGATTTACTGTCCTTGCTGTGATTTATCAAAGTAGATTCAAGGTTGCTGAAATAGTTTTTATTTTTAATAAAATAATAAATTGCTGTAGATCTGTTTGGCCTTTCTATAATTAATAAAATTTAAGTTGTTTGAATTTTTTTGAAATAGTTTTAAGTTGGTTTGTTTTATTTTTTTCATTTTATAACAGTCGAAGTCATACCATGGTTTCTTAAATTTATTTTGAATGGTTATTTTAATGAGTTTGATTTGAATATATTCATTATATAAATCATAAGATTATAGATTTATTTGCTGTTAAGGTCAGTTATTTCTGGGATGTTATTAAATCTATTTTTGATTTTGGCTAGATATCTTGGCATATTGTAGGTGATCTTTTGTTGCTTATTGGTGAGATGATTTTCTTTGCAAAAACAATAGGATTTTTGTTATTGTTGGAAAGTAGTCAGATATATCAAAGGTTGTTATGATGAATTCTGAGCAGTAATCTGACAAGAATTCAGAACATATAGTGAAGTCTATAGTGGAATTACCACTATGTCTAATACAGATAAATTCTGCTGGATGATCAGATTGAATGCGACCATTTAGAATGTACATTTTATGCTCCATTATAAATTTTATTAAGTTTATTCCCAGTTCGTTAGCATGTTTATCTTTTGAATGGTAGATGTTATTAATTAAAGGATTGGGTCCACTGTAGTGAGAGTCCAGTATTTCAGCAATTTGTGAGTTCAAGTTTCTGAATAGTAGAATATACAGAGTGATGTGCTGCCATGCATCAATTATTTTGAAGATTTCATTGAGTTTTGATAAACAATTGAGAGGAATATAGGCAATTATCACTATTATTAACTTGCTGTCATTATTGACAAGACTATGTTGTGTTTATAAAATTGTACTGCCATTTCATGTTACCAGCATAGAGGTATGAAGGAGTACATGTCGAGAGTTGATATTTGGCACAGAGTATTAGGTGCCCAAATCATTTTGCGCATAAAAAAATCCAGACTTGTAGGTAGTCAGGGACCGAGAACTGAGTCAAAATAAAATACAAAATGGCAACCCTCTTCTACAAACAGGCACCTCACTCCACCAAAATCAGGTAGGGGAGAGTACCACCCATAGTCATTCTAAGAAGTGAACTCTGACCTTAGGACTGAACACACAGTTTCTTCTATGTTAAATAAAATTTGTAATCTAATTTTGTAAATTTGGGAGTGCTTCAAATATGAAATTAAAACAGTGTGTCATTACAAGTAGGTTATCTAGTATAATAACATTATCTAGTATAATAAAATCGTGGGACCGATAAAAATTTGACGTTATATTAGGGTTGTGTTTACATCTGATGACGTTATAATTGGGTTAAACTGTATATTGTTTGTGCAAAATAAAAAATTAATTTCGGACGATACAATAGCCATGATTATTTTTTCAAAAATGGGAAATTTTCGTTATGCATCAACAAAAATTCAATCCAGTCCAACGTGCAACAGAGAAAAATTTTGAAATTGGATAGGTTAATTTCATCAAAAATGCATTGTGGACGACTTCATGGTCGTAGCCGGCAAAGTTTGAACAATTGCGCCCAAAAACAGCGATACCAAATAAGATTGGAGAATGAGACCCACTTTGAGTGTCAAAGTGATTCCGCTTAGTAGTGAGTCTCTGAGACATAGTCTTGCCCCAAATACGGTTTTGCCATTTTACTTGTTTTCAAGTATTGCTTTGTTCGTTGAAAGTAGTAGTAATATAAAATTGTCAGATTTCTTGATTTGAAGTATTTTAAATAAATGTTTTTTTATTAAGATGGATAGACCGCCACTTGGACGTCCTGGACCATGTGACTTGTGTGCTAGAACTATTTCAGTTATAAATTTGTTAAAGAAAGTTGATATGTAAAACAGTTCAAGTGTAATCCACATTTCTGTTATTCCTATTGTGTCTGGTTTAAATTTTGATTGTAAGGAATTGAGTGATGATAATTTATGTAATTAATTTTCATAGTATCTTATTATTATTGTAACTAGAAATTTCTCATTAAGCATGATGGAATACTTTTTATCAGAAAGTAGAGATTTCAAGAAGAGTTGCCATTTCTACAAATTAATAGTTTATACTTAAGCTTGATGATGTGATGCTGTTTCTGCAGCCCTTGAAAAAGCTCATTTTTATCTGATGTTACTCAAATCAAACTTAACAGCCTTTAGGAGTGTCGGTTGTTCTTATTCTTTTAGATCTAGAATTTACCTGACCAATTTTACTCTTAAGCTTTCCCCTAGGCATTTTTTTTTTTCAGCAAAATAGTGAGTCTTTTTAAATCCACATTGATAAAACACTGATGAATTGTATGTATGTTAGTTAGTTTCTAAATAATGGGCTCAAACACTGATGAATTGTTGTATGTATGTTACTTTCTAAATAATGGGCTCATTAAATTGTTACTTCTAATTGGATAATAAAATGTCATATGGTCACTATGAAAAGATTTTTTTTTTAAATTTGTTATAGAAATGACATGATGGGGCCATAATTTTTGAAGTTTAAATTTTAAATTTAATGAAGTAAGTTTAAAATATGCCATTTTCCAAAATATTTAAAAATGCAATTTAAGGGAAATTTTGTCATCAAGCATGAATGTCACNAAAGATTTTTTTTTAAATTTGTTATAGAAATGACATGATGGGGCCATAATTTTTGAAGTTTAAATTTTAAATTTAATGAAGTAAGTTTAAAATATGCCATTTTCCAAAATATTTAAAAATGCAATTTAAGGGAAATTTTGTCATCAAGCATGAATGTCACATGGTCACTGACATCACTGCAACATAAGTGCGATCATCGATTCAAAATTTACAAAACATTTATCCTATAGCTAATGTACTACGACAGAGCCATAATCACAGATAAAACAATTTACCACAACAGACCAGACATCACACTCATTGACAAACACAATAAAATCACATACATTATAGACATAGCCATTCCAAACACACACAATGTACAAAACACATGCACTGAAAAAATCAGCAAGTACACAGAACTCGCCAAGGAAATAAAGCATCTATGGAAGATGGATAGGGGGTGCTTATTGTACTTGTTCTCTCTTCTACAGGTGTAATACCACGCACACTACAAAAGCCTGGACACATTACAATTGAATAGAAACACATACATCACACTACAGAAGGCCACTATATTGAATACATGCCATATTGTTAGGAAATTCCTGAATACAGACACTAACACACTTATTTAATTTTTGTTTTTGGTTGCTATACCTTGACTCTGGTCCGGCATAGTACACAGCCACCGGTGTGAACCGAGTGTAACCCACTAAATCCAACATAATAATAATAATAAAGTACTTCACATTTATGTTTTGAATTTGAATAGCATCATGTGGGACATAGAATGTTCTGTTTTAAAAAAAGTTCTTCAAATAATACCATTCAATTTATGGAAATATATTGACCTGTTTTAATTAAATGTAACCTGACGATCTCAGATAGTGATTGAAAAAAGTCATTTTTCCAATAAACATAGCAGTATGGAAGGTGTCTGAGAGTATTTACAGCCAGATAATATGACTAAATAATCAGGACTGTACTGAATTAATTACAATAGTAAAGAAAACAAATTCCGTATTTTTCATGTAAATAATTACACATAATCCACAATCTGTTAGATCTTTCTTTGTACAACATTATCAGTACAGTCGACCCCCTATAACACTATTGATAATTCTGTTTTATATGAATTCCACATTGTACGAGTCACTTAGATTTTACAAATACATGTGCCAAGCTGTGAACGGCTCACGTATTTGTTAAATCTAAGTGACTCGTACAACGTGGAATTTATATAAAACAGAATTATCAATAATGTTAAAGAGGGGTCGACTGTATTATTTTATTATGCAGAGAAGTTACATTATATCACATGGAATTCACTTTAAATGAATTTGCAAAAAATGAGGATTACTTATATAATCTGAAAAAATTAATGTTTTATTTTAAGTACAGTACCACTATCTTAAATATACTTTAATCAAAAATTAATTTTTTTAGCATTTACATTTTGAATGCGTGTTTAATTTTTTATCAAGTTTTAAAGTACATTTTACAAATATTCAAGTGTGATAGTGTCAAACATAGTATTCAGGCATATCATTCTAATGTTTTGAATATAACTGAAAATATGCAAAGAATTGGAGAAAATTTCTGATTATTAACAGAGTATTGCATGTCTGGAAATGTTGATAATGTGTAATGTGATAAATTATGAAAACTTATTGTTTTAAATGCCTTTCTTTCATCAGTTTAGTTTGTTTTATTATTATTTAAATGAGTTTGAGAATGCTAGCTTTTTTTTAATTAAGAAATAAAAAGAAATTTTATATGAAAAAATATGTTTTTAATATAATAGAAATTAAGTAAAAAATACTTTATAAAATAATAAGTATTGGGTCAAATTTTTTAATATTTGTTTAAAACACATTTTAAATATTGAAACCATCTGGCCAACAGAAACATTAATGTTTCTGTCAAAAGTTATGCCAGCTAAATTGTCTTACATGAAATTATCTGACATATTTTAACATTACAAATAGATATGATAAAATTATTATCTTATTGCAATAAATGTTCTATGCATAAAATAATTTAAATATCCAGAAAATTTTCATTTTTTAATTTAAATTTATTAAATTCGAATCACCAAGAAAGTTAGTGAAATTCTTTCTCCACCTTGTCAAAATTATTTTTTTCAACTAGTTATTTTAAGAAGATATTTATTTTGTGATTTCATAATGATTAGTTATAAACTAATCCTTCTGTTACTATTAATATCTGGCATTGAATCTAACCAGGACCTCTGCAGAAAACACCTACAAAAAGAGGCAGACCACCTATCAACCGTTCAAGATTGGAAACAAATCTTATAACTGATTATACGGAAACAAGAAGAACAGTTTCTTCAACTGCTACAGGTGAGAACTCTAATATTAATAATTTAACAGAATCCATTAATCCTGAAACATCCGACAACTGAACTGCAGAGTTATGGTCAACAATAGTTAAACTTATTGAAACAAGTAACAAAAAGATAGATAACCAATTTACGCTTATTTGGGATGAAATTAATAATATTCACACAGAAATTATTGATTTTAAAAAACAACTACAAGAGGTGAATGTTAAATATGAAAAAATTGAACTGGAATTGATTAAATTGCGTAGTTATAAAGAACAAATGCAATTTAGATTTGATGCTATGACTAATGTTATTAATAATAATAAATTAATTATCTATGATTGTGCAAATACTATGATAGACAAGAATCATAAAGAACTTCTGGATTTTCTTGCATTTGTTTTAAAAATGCCATGTATTAATAAAGAAGATATAAAATCTATTCATAATATACCTAATCCTAATATCAATATCAAATGTGTAACTTTAAAATCAGAACAAATACGTAATAATATACTGATGAACTATAATAGATTAAAACAAAATAAATTACTAGGAGAATGGCAGAATGTTAATCTGGCTGTGGATTTGGTTAAGGATTCTCGTTTAAGAAGGAAAATGCTTCTACCACATTATATTGACGTAAGAAAACGTGGATTTCAAATTAAATTAAGGGATGATTACTTTATGTTAAATCAGTACTTATAGTTTACTACAACATCATTTGGTTTATGCTGAAGATTTTTTAGAATATATTCCTTCAGAAAACTTAATAAATCAGACATCCCAACTAATATAAATGAAGAGAATGATAAGAGAAAAAAGCAACAAAATAACTTATTACGAATAATTAATTCGAATTGCCAAGGGTTAATAAAAAAAAAATCAATAGTAACAATTTTACTTATCTACTAAATAATAATCATGTTATAGGTCTTATGGAAACATGGACTACCTCTGCGATTACTAATTTATTTAAAAACAATGAACGATTTAATACTATTTCGACATTAGCTAAAAAACCTCAAGGACCAGGTTGCCCTTATGGAGGTTTGTTTGTTTATAAAAAAAATATTAGAGACATTAAATTCTGTCAAAACACTGATAATTATATATTGGTTATACTGCAAGTTAGCAACTCATCTATAATATTGTTATTCAAAAAACTTATAATAATTTTGTTGATTTACATNACCACATTATATTGACCTAAGGAAACGTGGATTTCAAATTAAATTAAGGGATGATTACTTTATGTTAAATCAGTACTTATAGTTTACTACAACATCATTTGGTTTATGCTGAAGATTTTTTAGAATATATTCCTTCAGAAAACTTAATAAATCAGACATTCCAACTAATATAAATGAAGAGAATGATAAGAGAAAAAAGCAACAAAATAACTTATTACGAATAATTAATTGGAACTGCCAAGGTCTAATAAAAAAAATCAATAGTAACAATTTTACTTATCTACTAAATAATAATCATGTTATAGGTCTTACGGAAACATGGACTACTACTCCGATTACTAATTTATTTAAAAACAATGATCGATTTAATACTATTTCGACATTAGCTAAAAAACCTGAAGGATCAGGTTGCCCTTATGGAGGTTTATGTTTGTTTATTAAAAAAAATATTGGAGACATTAAATTTTGTCAAAAAACTGATAATTACATATTGGTTATACTGCAAGTTACCAACTCATCTATAACATTGTTATTCAAAAAAACTTATAATAATTTTGTTGATTTACATACCATCAGAACAAATAGAAACTATGAATAAAATATTTGATCATTATGAAAAATTGAAATATATTCTCCATATGTTATAATTATAGGTGACATAAATGCCAGAATTGCTCAACAAATGGATACAATATACAATGGTCCAAATACATTAATCTGTAATATTCAAGAATCCAAAGATATAAAATATAATAAACTAGGAATGCAACTGTTAAACTATATTAGCCAATTACAACTATATATAATGAATGGAAGATTAGAATTTGACAGTCCTTTGGAATTTACATGCATAAACTATAATGGATGCTTGGTAATAGATTTGACTATTTGTTCAGCTCTAATGACAGATTTGTGTATGGGTCTAAAGGTTTTGAACTGTGATCTATCTGACCATTTTCCGACATGTACCTCTTTTGAGGTGTCAACTATTTCTGCTTTTGAAAAAGAATTTATATCTCAACAAACAATTTATTATAATTACCAAGCATATTTTTCACAAATTAGTGAACTTATCAAAATTACATAAAATAACAGACTAATCAAAGACAATGAAAAATACCTACAATTGATAAGTATAATTAAACAATTTATAAAAATTTGAAATGTTAAAGGACGGCAAATTTCAACATTTAAAAAACCCTGGTACGACTTGCAATGCTATACTGTGAAAAGAAAGAAAAATAAAACTTTACATCAATTTAGGCAAAATTATTCAAATGAATTATTTATGAACTATAAAAAATTAAAAACAATGTATGTTAATTTATTAAAATCAAAATTCTTAAATACTTTAAAAATTTGCAACATCAACTGATTACTACAAAAAATACAGATTTCTTCTGGACAACAATACAGAAATTAAGAAAGAAAAAATTAGGTCATCAAATAAACAGAAATATCAGCCTGGAAACAATATTTTAATAGATTTTCAGATATTGATTATCCATCAAACTTAAAAATTCCTAACTTGAATAATAGTCTGCTGGATTTACCGTTTACATATGACGAACTTGAGGATTCAATTCAAAAAATGAAATTAAAATCAGCTCCTGATATTGACTTGATAACTCCCAAATTTGTCAAATTTTTATCTCCTTCGGGCAAACAACTATTACTCAACTCATTCAATTACTTTTATAAAACATTTAAAATATCCAGAAATTTGGAATACTGCTAAACTAGTCATGATCTATAAAAAAGGACTTTGTACAGAACCTGAGAACTATCGTCCGATTGCTTTACTATCGGTGTTAAGGAAATGCTTTACATCCATCTTAGCTAACCGTTTTCAATGATGGACTCGTGAAAGTAATCTTAACTCTGAATTTCAATACACCTTTATTAAATCCAGGGGTACAGAATTTGCTATCTTCTTATTATCTTCAATTATTCAAATATATTTGCAGAAAAAATGTAGGAAAATATATGCAGCCTTCATCGATATCACCAAAGCCTTTGATTCTGTTCATGTTCCGAGATTGGTAAATAAATTAAAACAAAATGGTGTAGGCAATAGATTTTCAGATTCGATTATGTATCTTTTCTCTTCTTATAAACTTCATATTGTAAATGGTAACTTAACTAATCCAGAAATTATTAGAAATTAAGGAATACTTCAGGGTTTCTCCATATCTTTTTAATTTCTACATAAACGATATAAATAAATTATTTCATAAGGATAACGAAGGAATATACATTAATGGACGTTGTTTTCACTATATTTTATACACAGATGATCTAGTATTATTAGCACCAACTCGTATAACTTTACAGCATAAAATTAATAGAATAAATAAATATTTATCATCATTATATTTATCGATCAATGCTTCAAAAACAAAAATAACTATTTTTAGGAAGAATCTTAAACTATCTAATCAAGAAAAAGACCTCTATTTAGACAGCAGACCTCTTGAAACTAACAATAACAATATAAAATACCTGGGTATTACTTTTAGCTGGAATGGTTTATTTCAACAGCATTTAAACATCCTTACTACAAAAATCAATTCACTTATCAATAACACTATATGTTCAACATTAAAGATTTCTGATTTAAAACTCCAAATAAAATTTTTTAATGCTATAATTCTTCCTTCAATATTTTATGCCAGCCTGATCTGGGCTCTTGACCATTTTTATAAACTTGAAAAATTTCATATTACTTACTTACGTAAAATATTCAGGTTTGAGAGGACAGTACCAGGTTATTCTATTAAAGCAGAAACAAACAGAATTCAACTATTTCCTTGGTTTATAAAGAGACTAATAAAATTTTACTATTGACTTATAAATACAGATGATAAGAATATAAAATTTTTACACCAAAATATATATCAAACTAATGACTTAAATTCTACTAATCATACTTGGCAATATAAGTTTAATAATATACTTCGAACATATGGAATTTCAAGTGTGATATTCGAGAGATATGAAACAGATTGGAAAAATGGTTATACAATAATGATGGAATCGGCTATATCGCAATCAATTTTCAAGATCAAAATTCAATATTGAAATTAACTTATCATCATTGGTACCCCAAGATTTTAAAAATACCTTCCAATTCCTGTTTTATTATAACCAATATAAATATGAGCATTAAACGACTATTTTTACAACTTCATCTTAATAAATATTCTTTACTGGTTAATAATACTTACATAGATTTTACCAATCAAACTTGTTATTGGTGTAAGTCAAATAACTTTTCTGTGTCTCATCTATTGAAAGACTGTACAGCTATAAAAAAATATTGTCAAAAATATCAAATAATAGAAATTCTTGGTATGAATTACGATTCAAAATATACCTCAAGATTAACTAATTTATCAAAAATTAATATGTACAAACTAAACAACTTCTTTACTCGAATTACCAATATGTTTAATAATGATGATATTAATTAATTCCGGTTAACTGCATTTGACAATAATTTCATTTGCATACTTATTGGAAACATGTTTTTATTGTTATAATTGGTAATAACATATGTTGTATTTCTATTTACAAATTTATTGTTATTAAAATATTCCCCCTGTAACAAGGTTTGTACATCTCAGACATTTAGAGCAAGTTGAAATTTATAAGGCTGCCAGCAAATATACCTCCATTAACTTTTATGATGTAGATTCCTTCCCCTAGGGTGAANTTGGTGTAAGTCAAATAACTTTTCTGTGTCTCATCTATTGAAAGACTGTACAGCTATAAAAAAATATTGTCAAAAATATCAAATAATAGAAATTCTTGGTATGAATTA